CTACAACTGTTAACTGTGGGTCCTTCTCTCCCTCCCCTCCGTCCTCCCGCCCGGGCCAGCCCCGGAACGTGTGGAAGATGACCGCGGACGAGGACTCCATGATGGCCACCGCCGGCCTAGCGGCGGAGGTGCGCGCGGGGGGGGGGGCGGGGCGGAAGGCCCCTGCATTGCGGCGCCGGCCGCGGCCTTGTGGCCAGCCCGTGGCCTGGCATCGCTCGGACGTGGGCATTTTTTCTCGGCGAGGCCCCTCGAGGAGGATCCTACGACGCACGAGAGCGACGAATGCACGGGGAATGGACGTCCGAGCGATGGCAAGGTGGGACCAGGGGGCCCGAGAGATGTTCTGGTATGTGGTGGTCTTCTGTAGGCCTGTTGCAGCTTCGAGGGCTCGGGGCTCCCTCCAGTAGCTGGAGCTCGGGGACGACGATGGCGATGGCGGTGACGAGGATGATGACGATGGTGCTGATGCTGATTATGCGGATGGTGGGCATGAGGATGAGGATGCTGTTGATTCTGATGGTCATGACGATGGCGATGATGATGGCGACGGCGGCAGCGGATAATGTTGATGACGAGGAGGAGGATGACGACGGCGATGATGATCAGTGTGAGAATGATGGTGATGACGACCATGCATGATTATGATGATACTGATGATGGTGGTGGCGATGGCCATAATGATGCTGATAATGATGACGACGGAGACGACGATGACGATGACGATGACGATGATGAGGGTGCTGCTAATGAAACTGATGATGATGACGACGGTGATGATGATGATGATGATGATGATGATGATGATGATGGTGATGATGGTGATGCTGGTGCAGAACAATATGATAATGTTGCTGATGAGGTTGCTGATGATGTTGATGATGTTGACGACGACGATGATGATGATGCTGTTGCTCATGATGACGATGATGACGATGATCATGCTGCTGATGAAGATGATGATGACGATGATGATGATTAATGGGGATGATGATGATGCTGCTGATGATGATGACGATGATGATGCTGATGATGACAACGATGATACTGATGATGATGCTGCTGATGATGATGCTGATGATGATGCTGCTGTTGATGATGATGCTGCTGTTGATGATGCTGCTGCTGATGACAGTGATGGCTCGCGCCACGAACCGTCCTCGGGGTTCAAGCTGGTCCCTCTGGACGTTTGCGTGACAGATTGTGGCCTGGTTTCGCATATGGCTGGATACGGACTTGCGCCTGGCCTGAGGACTCGAGCCTCCATGAATTCTGTTGCAGGCCTCTGTTCATGCTCGTAACAGCGGACCGTGCATGAGCATGGAGGAAAACAGACGCTATGAACCGTCCTCGGGTTCAAGCTAGTCCCGTTTGGCGTTTGCATCCGTGACACATTGCTGCCTGGGCTCTTACAAGGACGGCTGCATGTAAGGTTGTGCCCAGGAGGAGGTTTCGAGGCTCCACGAACTCTGGTCGAGGCTTCTGTTCACGCTCGTAACAGGGGACCGTGTCCGCTCATGGAGGAACGCAGTAATGGCTCACGCCACGAACCGTCCTCGGGGTTCAAGCTGGTCCCTTTGGGCGTTTGCACTCGTGACAGGTTAGGACTTTGTTTCGCACGGTGTGACTTGGTTTCGCAAAAGGCTGGCTGCATGTGGGGCTTGCGCCTAGGAGGAGGACTCGAGGCGCCGTTTCTTTTGACAGAAGCCTCTGTTGATTGTTGTAGTTCGTGTGGGACCTGTCCCGAATACAGAGGGTCATGGTAATTCTTCCACCAGGTCCAGTCCTTGGGTGTGGCGTTGTCTCTTGGGACGTTTGTTCTCGTGACGTCGTGTTTCTTGTGTGAAATGGGCCGGGCAGGTATTGATACTCCATGAGTTTTGTTGCAGGCCTTTGTTTTATCGCGTGGCAGGGGCGCGTGCTTGGTCATGGAGGAGAGTGGTAATGTCTCACGCCACGAACCGTCCCTGGAGTGCATTGTTGTTTCTTTGGATGTTTGCTCTCGTGGCATTTTGTTCGTTTCGTAGTTTGGGTGGTACATCTGGCACATTGTGACCTGGTTTCCCACAGTAAGCGGTACATGTGAAGTTGCTCCTGTGAGGAGGACTTGATATTCTGTTAGCCTTGTCAGAGGCCTGTCTTGATGTTCGTCGCAGGGGCTGTTCTCGATCATGTTTTGTTGTTGGCCACGTCACGACCCGCCTTTAGGATGAAGTATTGCCCCCTCGGGCGTTTGCACTCGTGGCGCATTCTGACCTGGTTTCCCCATCTGTGGTTGTGCCTGGGAAGAGGGCTCGAGCCTCCATGAACTTGGTACAAGCCTCTGTTCACGCTCGTGATAGGGGACCGTGTCGGAGATTGGAGGAACACATTAAGGGCTCACGCCACGAACCGTCCTCGGGGTTCAAGCTGGTCCCTTTGGACGTTTGCACTCGTGACAGATTGCGGCCTAGATCGTATAAGAACGGCCGCATCTGGGCTTGCGCCTGGGAGGAGGACTCGAGTCTCGATGACTTTTGGTCGAGGCCTCTGTTCACGCTCGTATCAGTTGGCAGTGCCAGGTCATACACGTGACACGTCGTTTTGCTCACGCTACGAACTGTCCTCGGGCTTCAAGCTAGTGCCTTTGGACGTCTGCACACGACACATTGAGACCTGGGTTCGCACGAAGATTGCTGCATATGAGGTTTCTCCTCGGGAGAGGACTAGGGACTCCATGAACCTTGGTCGAGGCCTCTGTTCACGCTCGTAAATGTTGGCCGTGCTCGATCATGGAGAAACACTAATGGTCACGCCACGAACCGTCCTATGGGTTCAAGCTGGTCCCTTTGGACGTTTGCACTCGTGACAGATTGTGGCCTGGTTGCGCATGTGGCTGCACATGGGCTTGCGCCTTGGAGGAAGGCTCGAGACTGCATTAACTTTGGTGCAGGCCGCTGTTCACGATGTTCATGCTGGTGCAGAAAATATGATGCGATTGCTGATGAGGTTGTTGTTGCTGATGATGATGGTGATGATGATGATGACGATGATGCTGCTGATGCTGATGCGGATGCTGATGCTGATGCCGCTGATGATGATATGATGGTGCTGAGATGATGCTGCTGCTGCTGATGATGATGCCGATCATGATGCTGACGATGATGATGACTATGATGATGCTGCTGATGATGCTGATGCTGATGCTGATGCTGATGATGCTGCTGATGATGGGATACGTGATATTCGAGGCTATGATGTTAGAAGAGAAGGCCAGAATCATCGCCTCGTTTAGGGCAATTGCAGTCGCAGGGTTCAAGACCAGCATGTTTTTTAGGTGGAGAGACAGGCCACAACTCTCGGGGAAGTTGCCTTCAGCTGGGAAGCTTGCGCGCGATGCCGCAGACGAACATGTGCCTCGCCCTCCTCTCCCTCCTCTCTCTCGTCCCCTTTCCCTCTCCACGCCGTCTCCAGTTTCCCCCTCCAGCTGAGGATGAGCTGGAGGAGCGTGAAGAAGGATGGGGAGGCGGAGGAGCAGGAGGGTGATGAGCAGTCAGGGTAGCCAAGTCGAGAGAGTCAGCGGGCCCCGCCCAATACCACCATCCCTCCCATAGCATCATCATCGAACGCGGCACACTTTTCAGGAGGGGAGAAAACACACAGGCACAATGCATCGTCGATTCCCCAGAAAACAGGAGAATATGGGAAGTGGGGGGAAAAACAAAAACCCAGAACATATGGGAAATAGGGGGAATCCGGTTATTTGTGTGTATTTATTTGTGTGTCCCAGGGCCCCTTCAATTTTGTGGTACTGGAATTGGAACGCGCTCCCGCTTCGCGAACAGAGGACAGTCGCGCGCGGTCCCGCTTCCCACGACCTGACAGAGTGACGGTTTCCTGGGCCGCGCAGGGGTGGGAGGGGAACTTCAGGAACTCCCTGCGGCGCGGCGGCGGGAGCACAGCTTCTCACACTGTTGGGTGGCCAAGTTTCCGATGAGCGCGGCGAAGACGAGGCATGCGCCGCGCAGACACAGCACCGCCTCTGTCAGGGACCAACTGCGCGGCGCCTGGGCGAGGGCAGCGTGTCGCCCGCTCTCTCGCACGGCCGCGCTGCCGCTGCGGCTTTCCTGGGCCACGCCCGCGCGGGAACGCCACTCCGAGCGACACGTGCACGGGGGTTGGGCGAGGTCGAGAGGTCGTCCGCTCGCGCAGGGCTCGGGCAAAACTTGGGGACTGAAGCGCAGGGGCGGACCTAAACGGTGTTTTTTGGCGATCTCGTGGGCCGTGTTCGTTTCGATGTCGCTCTGCAGCAAAGGCGAACTCAAGACAACACGAGGGACAACGAACACAAAACGAAGACGAAAAGCACTGTGTAGGTCCAGCCCTGATGCAACGTATGCGCCGTGCGTTGGCGGGATCGCCACGTTCGGGCGAAGGCCGTGCGGCGCCAGGGCGAGAGCGTCCAATCCAATCTTCGGCCGCTCGCGCGTCGACCTGGCACCGCTCGGACCTGTGCATTTTTTTTCTCAGCGAGACCCATCGCTGCATGCCGCGAAATGCTTATTTCCCTTAAAAAATTAAAATGTTTCTAATTCGCGTATAAACTATGCAATGATTGTTTTCGTTTCTAGCGTTGGCAACCAACAAACCGTATCATTATATTCTCAAATGTTTTAGAGTTTTCTACCGCATCGAAACAAAGATACGAGGACCATCCTGGCCCATCGAGCAAACAAAAAAAAACACGCACGACACCAACAAAGTGCACGGGAAACGGACGTGTCCGAGCGACGGCAAGCCGACGAAGGGGCGAGCGAGAGGCGTGGTGCGCCGCGCCTCGGGGGGAGCTCCGTCCTCGGGGACCGGTGCGCGCGGGGCACCGAGGCGAGAGCGACACCTCGCCATTTTTCGCGTGGGACGTGTGCCCCGCCGAATGTCACGTTCACGGTCGGTCCGCCGCGCCAGCCGCCTCGCAGGACCGGCGCTGGCATCGCTTGCGCCCCGGCGACTCCGCGCCGCGGACCCCCGCAGAAGACCCCCCAGATCTCGTTGCCCTTCTGCTTGCAGAGGGGTCGGGTGGAGCCGCAGAGCCGCGCGTCCCTCCAGGGCCCGCCCTGCCCTGCCACGCGGCGTATTGTTGCAGCGCCGACGCCGAGGCGTCCCTGTCGAGAGCGAAGGCGTCGACTCTGCAGCAGGTGCGAGGGGTCCTCCCGGCTGGCGTCCGAGTCGGCCAGCCCAGGTGGTGCGGCGGAAGGGTGTGCTTATACGTGAAAGGAGGGCCGGAGGGAGAGGGTGAGGGGACGAGCTGGGCGCGCTCGCGCCACATGTGGCATCCTACCCCGCCCTCGCATCCCTTCCAAAGCGCCGAGTTTTACGAGTTTTCCTCTACCCGTGCACGCGCGTCATAGCGGACCTGCAACTCCCAAAGAGATTCCATCGTGTTGTGCGGCGCAGTCGGAGCAGGGAAGCTGCGTACATAGGAGGTGAGGGAGGAGGAGGAGGAGGAGGAGGACGAGGAGGAGGAGGAGGAGGAGGAGGAGGAGGAGGTGGCGGATGAGCAGGAGGATCAGCAGGAGGAAAACGAGGAGCATCAGGAAAGAGGACGAACAGCAGCAGCAGGACCCGGAGTGGGAGGAGCGGGAGGAGCAGGACGACCAGGGCAAGGCGGCGGAGGGCGAAAGGAGGGCGGCGACAGCGACGAGACGGGACTCGGCTCCAGAAGCGTGGCCCGCGCGGTGACGGCTATGGGACAAGCGCGCGCGAGAACGACCAGCCCGCCCATGCCCTGCATGCAGACATGCGCGGCCCTCGGCAGAGGCTGCTTGCGGGCGTGTGCCGCGGCGTGCGGCGCGCGCCGCCGCACGGGGGGGGGAGCCGAGGCGAGGCCGCACGCTGCAGCGCCACGCCCGCGCCGGCGGGGGGCGCCGAGCCGCCCGGGGCGCACCGTGTGCCCCTGGGCCCGGGCCCGGGCACGGGCCGGCGGCCCCGCCGCTCCGCGACCGCCACAAGCATGGGGCGGGCGCTGTCAGCACTCCGTCGGGCGTGCCCCTCCACAGGAGGACCAGTCAAACATAGTAAAACAAGTCGTTTTGTTGTTATATCTATATATAATATACATATGTATATATAATAGATATATACATATGTATATATATATATAATAGATGTAAAACCACTTTTGTTGTTGTTTTGAAATTCTGTCTGGACCACTTCTCTCATTTTTTCCTTCCACAGTGCGCCTGTAGGAGGACATGCCCCACCGACTCTCCGCCCCATCCTTGGAGACGCGCTCGGCCCGCCAGCGCGGCCCGGGCCTCCTGCCCTCAAGACGGGGCGCGCCCGCGCCCCGCGCCGGCGCCGCGCGCCGCGGGCCGACGCGGCGGCGCCTCTCCTCGAGCGGAGAGAGGCGCACGGCTGCGGGCACGGCAGAGCGCGGCCCCCGCGGCGCGGCCCCCCCGCGGCGCGGCCCCCCCGCGGCGCGGCCCCCCCGGCGCGGCCCTCTCGGAGAGGCGACTCCCGGGCGGCCGACCCCGCGCGCAGGGGCAGAGCCCAGCAACGCGCTTTTTCGCCGTCTCGGGCCCTGTGATCCTTGTCTCTTTTCCTTGCTTTGCCGATCGGCGCGGGCCCTCGCGCCCTCCCCCTCCCCCCCCCTATGGAGCAGATCCCGGCTGTTTTTGGCGCCCGCTTCGGGCAGGTGGGGTCTGCCCCACAGGTCGCACTGCTGCGAGCATCCGCATGGAGCAGAGGTCCGGAGCCAGACCCCCCTTCCACCCCCCCCCCCGCCTTGCGCCCAATGTCGAAACGCCGAAGGAGAAAACGCTCGCCTCTTTACGGGCCGCACCCGCGAGGGTCTGCGAGGGGCCGTTCTCTCGCCAGCCTCGCCGCGCGGCCCAGCGCGCGGGGGAGCTGCCCTCCTCCACGGGGGGCGGGAGAGGCCCGGGGGGCAACGCCAGGAGGGGTGGTGCTCAGGGGGGGATGCGCCGACCCCCAAGCGCCCCAATGCCCCCAGAGGTCCGAAGCCAGACCCCCCCTGATGCGCCGACCCCCAAGCGCCCCAATTCCCCCAGAGGTCCGAAGCCAGACCCCCCCTTCCCGCCCCCCCGTCCGCCCCATGACGAAACGCTGGATCAGACAGCGCTCACTTTCCTGCTTTCGGCCTCCCAGCGCGGCCCCCGCCGGGCCTCGGGACCGTCAACAGAAAGACCCGGGGTGAAGAACGGGTCCCGGGGAAGGGGTCCAGGCACCTGGGATCAAGTCGGGCGTGTCCCTCTGCAGGGGGAATATGCAAGAATAGTCCAGAACCAGTCTGGGGACGCTTTTTTTTGGACTATTTTTAACTACTGTTGACTCTTTTGTTTGACTATTTCTCATGTTTCTTCCGAAATCCGCCTGCAGGAAGACCTGCTCGACGTTGCGGGAGCGAGGCGCGCGGCCTCCCCGCCGCTCTTCGAGCGCCCCCCCCCCTCGCGCGCGGCGGCCCCCGCCCTCGGCCCCGCGGGGACCCCTGCGGCTCGGCCGGCCCGC